GTGTTTGCAATATCTGCACAAAGGAGACGTCGATCAGCTGCTCAAAGATCTTGTCTTTGGAGAAGACTGTTTATTTTACACTCAAAAAATGTAAGTATTACTACTTAGAAATTAAGATTACCTCAGAAAGCATTGCTAGCCCACCCCAACACTTTTGAACAATAATAATTATAAATGCTGACCAATAATTATTTTTTTTAGTAAAACAAACAAAATGTAATTTGTTTTGTCATATGCTATAGCTATGCATGACTTCACACAAGACAAATGCAGCCAAGGTGAATACATCTCAATTTTCAGTAAAGTAATGAATTAATGCATATGTCAATGATCTGACAATCATGTATTTACAGGCGGTGAATCCACATCTACTGCCATCTCAACACAGCTGTGCCAATTCTGCAGCTTTATTCTGATGAACCGTGCCCACCTTCACCTGTCTCTGCCATCCATCACGACCTTCATTGCTGCAGTCAGACTGGAATCTGATCATGGATGGGAAAGGGACATCGAGGCTATCATTGCCTGAGTGCACAGAGAGGATGAGGAAGACCATGATGACGCCCCTAAGCAACACAATCTTGAACAAGAGCAGGAGAACATGTGTGGGACAAACTGACTGCTGCTGTGTCTGCTCCAAACATTTGTGTACTGCTCTCCATGAGCACCACTACCTGTAAAACATTTACACAGAGTAAAACATTTTACATCTCATGCTGTCAGCATTTCATTTCTTGTCAAATTTAATTTCATATGTTTACAACTGCATGCTAATTTTTGATATAGCTTCATTACTTTTGTAGTGTAGTGAACTGGTCAGCAGAAGGTTGCTGGATCGATCTCCGCAGTCGTCACCACCGCTGTCTTTACTCCAGGTTGCTGCTGGGGGATTGGGGTCCCTGTGATTAGAACACTAAGTCATTTCGAATAAAAGTCTCTGCCAAATGAATAGACGTAAATGTGATTTTTGTAAATGCTTTTTTGTGTCTTGGGCACAAACGCTCAATAAAGCTGCTCATTTCTTAAAGTAATATAAATGCTTACATATGTTTCATACAATTTCTATTTGGGGCTTTAAAGGGTTAGTTCATCGAAACATAAATTCAGCCATTATTTACTCGCCTCCACACTGTTCAATCCTTGTGTGTGTTTTTGTTTTTTCTGAACACAAATGGTGAGTTTGGTCAAGTTTGTCCTGCTGGTTTGTGTTCATACAATATCAGTCAATAGAGCCTGACTTTCAGATTCTTCATGATATTATTTGATGATTCTTTTGAAGCTTCTGAAACTCGGGTTTCATTGACTGATGTTGTTTGAACAGAAACCAGCAGAACAAACTTGACCAAAATCACATCCTCATAGTCTTTTGGTCTTCCTCTAGATGCTCTCGCTGGCTCTGGGCTCACTGAGGATGAAGAGACCACAGCAACATCCGGTCCTGATGAGGCAGTAAGAGGTGGAGTGATGGTGCGTCTCATTCATAGCACTGGACCATTTCTAGGATGCTGAAAATGATGCATCTTCACAGCTCACACCAGTCTGCAGACATTTCAGATCCTGCAAAGATGCACAAACACAATACAAAAGCAGTAATTTTAACAGCACAATGTTATTTGACTTCTGTATTAGAAGAAACAAAATGATCTTACTTTATATTTTTGTTTCAGGTTTTCCCTTTTTTCCACAAATGCTGCTATCACCTGCTCCACCACAAAAGCTCTGTATCAAATGCACATATATCAAGAATCAGAAAAGTGCTGTAATAACTCTGTTTAAAATTACAATAATTAAAATAAACTACAACTTAAGATTTAAAAGATGTTTTATTCATTACTATAGTGTACTCACTCAAAGCATTCAGCATTGCTTCATCAGTCACTCTGCACCGGATAAACACACGTGTGTCTCATCTGTCCCTGTAACATCCAGACAAGAGTCAAGTCACCTCTGTGATTTATCTGCTCAATACTGCATTTACATGTTGAGGAAGTTGCTAATGTGTTAACTCACTTTTTACCCAACACAAATGTTCCTCAATTTATCAGTAGTACTAATGGACAAATGATATAGATAACTTATGTTTAGTTATTCTTACATTCATCTAAAGCAGTGTTGACAACAGTGAATTCTACATAATAGTGCACATACAGCACTCAGTATGCTGTTTAAAAAAAAAAAACTCAGTCTGTTTCATGTTGCCATGTGCTCATCTGCAATTCTTTTAGAACATTTTCCGGTCTCATATTAAATAGACATCTAATCATCTTTAAGATGTATAGGTTTATGTAAATTCACTTTGGTGAAGTACGTGTGCTTACTGGAGCTCAGCTATACATAATAAATCGTGTTTTTACAGAACAAATATACTGTAACGTTACTGTCTAACATCTTACACCTTAAGCAAATCAACAGTAGCTCAACAATATAAAAGCTGTTCACATACTCTTTTTCCCTACTAAATAGTAGGTAAGTAGGTATATTAGAACGCAAATTAAGTATACGTACGTCCGAGTCTCGCGAGAATTAGTGCAATTCTCGCCTACTCTTTTATGAATACAGAGGATTCAAACATACTTATTTGCTTGCCTACTGCTTTTTGCCTACTATATAGTAGGGAAGTATGCCATTTCGGACACAGCCATTTTGAATGAATCAGCCGTTTGAACGAATCGATTGAATGAATGATTCAGTGACAAAGAATCATGCCGCCACCTACTGGCTTTTTTTTTAAGTTTAAGCATTAAAACATTTAAAGTGCCCCTATTATGCCATTTTTAAGGTTGCTAATATTGTTTTATGAGTCTCCTAAAACAGGTTTACATGCATGCAAGGTCAAAAAACACTTTAGTTTTACCTAATGGATAAACACACGTGTGTCTCATCTGTCCCTGTAACATCCAGACAAGAGTCAAGTCACCTCTGTGATTTATCTGCTCAATACTGCATTTACATGTTGAGGAAGTTGCTAATGTGTTAACTCACTTTTTACCCAACACAAATGTTCCTCAATTTATCAGTAGTACTAATGGACAAATGATATAGATAACTTATGTTTAGTTATTCTTACATTCATCTAAAGCAGTGTTGACAACAGTGAATTCTACATAATAGTGCACATACAGCACTCAGTATGCTGTTTAAAAAAAAAAAACTCAGTCTGTTTCATGTTGCCATGTGCTCATCTGCAATTCTTTTAGAACATTTTCCGGTCTCATATTAAATAGACATCTAATCATCTTTAAGATGTATAGGTTTATGTAAATTCACTTTGGTGAAGTACGTGTGCTTACTGGAGCTCAGCTATACATAATAAATCGTGTTTTTACAGAACAAATATACTGTAACGTTACTGTCTAACATCTTACACCTTAAGCAAATCAACAGTAGCTCAACAATATAAAAGCTGTTCACATACTCTTTTTCCCTACTAAATAGTAGGTAAGTAGGTATATTAGAACGCAAATTAAGTATACGTACGTCCGAGTCTCGCGAGAATTAGTGCAATTCTCGCCTACTCTTTTATGAATACAGAGGATTCAAACATACTTATTTGCTTGCCTACTGCTTTTTGCCTACTATATAGTAGGGAAGTATGCCATTTCGGACACAGCCATTTTGAATGAATCAGCCGTTTGAACGAATCGATTGAATGAATGATTCAGTGACAAAGAATCATGCCGCCACCTACTGGCTTTTTTTTTAAGTTTAAGCATTAAAACATTTAAAGTGCCCCTATTATGCCATTTTTAAGGTTGCTAATATTGTTTTATGAGTCTCCTAAAACAGGTTTACATGCATGCAAGGTCAAAAAACACTTTAGTTTTACCTAATTTCTAAATGATTCGTAAACGACTCGTGCGAAGCAGTTCAAAGAATCAGTCTCTCTAAACCCCTCCTTTCCGTCAGCCCTCACTGCTGTGATTGGTCAGATGGTGCAGTTCTTTGTGATTGGTCCAGAGCCGTAGAGAGCTTGGCTCTGGATTGGTCTATGCGTACAGCGCGTGTAGGAAACGAAACGCCCATTGCCATGACGGAATGACAGCCCTGGAGACTAAAGCATTCAGCATTGCTTCATCAGTCACTCTGCACCGGATAAACACACGTGTGTCTCATCTGTCCCTGTAACATCCAGACAAGAGTCAAGTCACCTCTGTGATTTATCTGCTCAATACTGCATTTACATGTTGAGGAAGTTGCTAATGTGTTAACTCACTTTTTACCCAACACAAATGTTCCTCAATTTATCAGTAGTACTAATGGACAAATGATATAGATAACTTATGTTTAGTTATTCTTACATTCATCTAAAGCAGTGTTGACAACAGTGAATTCTACATAATAGTGCACATACAGCACTCAGTATGCTGTTTTAAAAAAAAAAACTCAGTCTGTTTCATGTTGCCATGTGCTCATCTGCAATTCTTTTAGAACATTTTCCGGTCTAGCTATCCAGTGCATTGTGATTGGCCGAATTCCTCAAGCGTGTGACGGAAATGTTAAGTCCCTTACCATATTGTGATGCCTGCTGCAGCCACATGTGACGACCCTGGTCTGGACTCCGCTTCGTCCACGGTGAAAGCCGATCCGGCGATTGCGAAGTTGAAGTATTTCCTCAGCGACCAGCACGGATCAGCTCCAGGCATGACGAAGCGATATCGTCCTCTTTTGGACGTCCTCGCGACATGGCAGCGGCAACAACAATACTACAGCGAGAATAAAAGTTACACCTTCTTTCTTTGCGTGAACATTTGGGCGGCGTTATGCAAATCTTCCCAGATAGTGAGGTAGATATGTGGGGGCGTGTTAGAACGAGTCGTTTTAGGTAGGTGTGGTTGACTCTTAACTTTTATAAAGAATATCTCTTTGGATTTGAGACTTTAGTCTTCACAACTTTACAGATCTTCTTTATGCACCAAGAGCTTGTAACACTCCAAAGAGAAAAGAAAAATTTAAATCGCATCATATGACCCCTTTAACAAGTTTATGGTAATTATAAGATGTGATAAAACAAATTTACTCTAACAGTGTAGGATACAGTGTGTTCTCGACATGATGTTAACCACACTGAAATTTTACTGTTTGTGGCAAGTTGGCTACATAGAACGTGGGCGGACATTATGCAAATGTGTTACTTCGTGATGTAGAGCTGTAAAAGAATAAGATTCGAATTCCTGACGATTCGTTTAGGCGAATGCGAGCCGACTCTTTTTTTTTGATAGACAATAACTTTATTTATCGTGCACTGTCGGCTTCACAACTTTGCAGATAGGTTATGTTCACATACAGCTACATGACACACTGCATGAAAGGTAATATTCGAAAAGGCATAATAGGGGCACTTTAATATTTCTATATTCAAAACTTTATATTTAAAACATCAATCTCATAACATTGTTATTATGAATGTAATTGCATTCATGCCACCTCCTACGCCTTGTTAAACAGTGTTTACATATCTAAATGCTATTTATGTGTTCTTCTGTGCCACCTCTAGTGCCAAGATTAATTTTGTTGATACTTCTGATTTCATTTGATTTGTAACTTATTCTTCCTGATTACATTTAAAAAAAAAAATTTTTTTTTTTAAAGATTATAAATATAAATGTATGAATTTGACATAAAAGATGACGCATTTAATAAAGTTAGAAAAATCCATTACAAAGGTGCCCCTGCAAATCACTTTGAGTCAAATATCACATCATAATGTGAAGGTTAATTTTTGTCATTTATCAAAAGGTACTGCTAAGTTTTTGACTGTGCTGTTTTTTTAATTAGCTCATTCTCCCTTTTTTATCAAACACTACAAGGTGCCATTATTAAATGACCCCCCCAAACCCCCCCCC